AGTCCAGTAAAAATGATGACTCTGGTAAGGAATGGGGGGTTGACAGAAAACTAAACTTCGGGGGCTGGACAAACAAGCTCAAAGCCAAGTGGTTGATCCAGTTGGGGAACTAATAAAGTTCAGACAAACGAACTACCGCCTTCAATAACACATAAAACAGAACAGGTAAGTCGGTGAAAAGCTTACCTTAACTGGGGCTCGTGAAATAAGGATCCTCTACGTAAAGAATTTCAATCTCCATCAGGAAAGAAGAAAGAGTCACCTTCCAATTCCTGGAAGTTCAGTAAATATGATGACTCTGGTAAGGAATGGGGGGTTGATAGAAAACTAAACTTCGGGGGCTGGACAAACAAGCTCAAAGCCAAGTGGTTGGTCCAGTTGAGAGACTAATAAAGTTCAGACAAACGAACTACCGCCTTCAATAACACATAAAACAGAATAGGTAGCTCGGTGAAAAGCTTCCCTTAACTGGGCCTCGTCAAATAAGGATCCTCTACGTAAAGAATTTCAATCTCCATCAGGAAAAAAGAAAGAGTCACCTTCCAATTCTTGTAAGTCCAGTACAAATGATGACTCTGGTAAGGAATGGGGGGTTGACAGAAAACTAAACTTCGGGGGCTGGACAAACAAGCTCAAAGTCAAGTGGTTGGTCCAGTTGGGGGACTAAGTTTAAAACCCAATTGGTTTTACTTGATTTGGTTGGGATGAATCACTATTTACAATTAATTATACCCAAACAGATTGTTTTCTGCACCTTTTTAAAGAAATTGACGATTCTCTTAGTATAGAAACTAGAATTGTAACCAGTTCTAATGACGCTGATTTGTTATTTTTCGGATTTATACCCAAAGAGAACAACACTTCCGAAATTACTGTGTAACATTAGTTTTCTGGACAGATTTGAATGCACCAGTTTTTTGGACAGATTTGAATGCACCATGATATTCACAAATATTGGTGGCCAAGTACTCCTACCTAACCCACATTTCACTCACAAGATCCACCATTATTTTAAAGTTGATTTCAAAAGTTGAGATTGTAAATGTTTCCCAAAATATTACAAATTGAATATTCAAAAGTTGATTTTAAAATAATTCCAAATGACAACAAAAATTCAAATAGTCATACTTTTCAATGAAATACAAATAGCAGGTCGTAACAACGAATGATGCATAGCTAAGTGAAACGCAACATTGCCTACATAAGCTTCATTTTTTCACACATTGAGTAGTCAAATCGTGGAGAGACTTGTCAGTATATATGTGGGATTCTCAATTCAGAAAGTCACATGGCAACAGTGAATTCACTGATTTACCTTACAGTGAGCATGCCCTTATTTTGTCCGTATATGCAGATGGATTGTGAAGTCATGTGACTTGGTGTACATGCTTTGATTTTCCAGATTTTTTGCTCGATTTTTTTATTACAGTGACAACTCATTTCTTATTGATATATGTGGGATTCTCAATTCAGAAAATCACATGGCAACAGTGAATTCACTGATTTACCTTACATTGAGCATGCCCTTATTTTGTCCGTATATGCAGATGGATTGTCAAGTCACGTGACTTGGTACACAGTATTTGCTTTTCTATGTTTTTTCAGTCTAGTGACAACTCATACCTTGTTCATATATGTGGGATTGTCATGCAGAGGAATCTTTCTAAAGCTGTTCATAACAAACTATATAAACGACTAAAGGTGAAGACATAACCTTACAACTCATTTCGCCCTACGAAATTATCATTCATTTGTTTTAAAAAATTAGCACGGCTACACGATTCATGGGAGGGAGTGGGAATCGCAGAGGTGGTACGAACTTGCAAAGGGGTGACAGTTCACGATGAGGAGGGGGAAGCGGCCGTGGCGATGCTGAAGATGATTCATGGGAGGGAGTGGGAATACCTGTTTTAGATTATGCTTGTGGTTATCGTGATAGGTTTGGGAAGCGACATTTTTTGATGCCCAAGTATTATCCAGTTCAAGGAGGTTCATGTATGGAGTCATCTGACAATCAAACAGGATATGGTTTATCTGGCACTGCTCGTCTCAAGTGGCCCGCACTATTTATAGAGCGGGTACAGCTGGAAATCTTAAGTCGGGAAAATCAACTTAAGGTGCCAAAAGCACGTTCTGTTGAGATCCAAAAGGAAGATCCTGATAATGTTGATCGACTTGTGAAAGATTACAACGTGAGATTTCTCAAATGCGTCATAGGTTAGCCCGCGATATGCAGCTATACATAGTTAAGAAGGATGCCAAGAAGAACAAAACAGAACCAAATGTTGCAACTATCAAGGGTATCATGGAGGATCCTGAACTTGTCTTTGACGCTGAGCTTTCGAATTATTCAGACTCTGAGCCACCTGCCGATTTAAGCGCGAATTAGGTGTTAATGTCTACACTTCGGCAATATTAGGTCATGCGTTAATATGTAATGTCTGTGTTAGACTAAGTATAACTGTTATGTTATGTTTATGTTTATGTATTGTGTCTGTCAAATGTTGCGGCTATTAATATGCAATATTAGGTCATGAATTAGGTGTTTGTCTGTCTAACTGTTATGTTTATGTATTGTGTGTTCAGTTCAGGGTGTCCAGGATGTATGTAATGTGTGTTCAGTTCATGGTGTCCAGAATGTATTTTTGTAGGAGACTTATGTCTGTACTACCTATGTAACCGAAAACTATTACATTTGCAACTTCAGTTATGTTGTTTTCATGCCTGTATGAGTATTTAATAAATTAGTGACTTCGTATATTATGTATTAAGTTTTATTACAAAAATGTTGACAAAATTTATTTTAGGAGCTCTCGCGGTGACCTTCGTCTTCTTGGCCTACTCTGCGGTGCTCTTCACGTCTCACCCTTCGTCGTTGCTTGTCGAACTGCACAGTGTGTGGATGTGCTTCGAACTGTAGAGCATGCATGTCACCTTCTAACCCAAAACAAAGACGAAAGAAAAAATTTTATTTTTTTAATGAAAACGGGTACAAAACAGTTTTACTAAACTGGTTTTCTGAATTACATTATCACCTTGTAATCCAAAACAAAGACAAAAGAATAAATATATATATTTAAATGAAAACGGCTTTAGTAAAGCCAAAATAATTTTCTGAATAACACCTTCTAACCCAAAACAAAGACAAAAGAAAAAAAAAATTTACATGAAAACGGCTTTAGTAAAAAACTGGTTTTCTGAATTACATTATCACCTTGTAATCCAAAACAAAGACAAAAGAATAAATATATATATTTAAATGAAAACGGCTTTAGTAAAGCCAAAATAATTTTCTGAATAACACCTTCTAACCCAAAACAAAGACAAAAAAAAAAAAAAAAAAAAAAATTAACATGAGAACAGCTTCAGTAAAGCCAAAAAAAAATTATGAATTACATTATCACTAAAACAATAACAACAGAAAAAAAAATTTACAAAAAAAAATTAAATATAATTTAAATGAACAGTGAAAGTGTGGTTTCAACCCATATTTACTGTAGTGAACAGTGAAAGCATGAATTTTGTAAATGAACATGATTGGCTTAATAATATCTAAATGAATATGATTTTAAAATTATATACATGAAAAATATTATGTAAAATTAATATATGAAAAGAGGCTTTTCCCATAAAAATTTAAATAATATATAATTGGATTAATTCCCAAATGTTTAGTAATTAGTTAAAAATATTATGTAAAATTAATATATAAAGAAGAGACTTTTCTCATATGATGTAACGCAAATTAATATATGAAAAGAAGATGTTTTTCCCATATTATGTAAAATTTCTGAATTACACCTCTTAAACCAAAACAAAGACAAAAGAAAAAAAAAAATATTTTAACATGACAATGGCTTTAGTAAAGCCAAAAAAAATTTATGAATTACATTATCACCAAAATAATGAGGACAGGAAAAAAAACAAAATATTAAAAAATAAATAAATAAATAAATGAACAGTGAAAGCGTGGTTTCAATCCATGCTTTCATTTATCAACAGTGAAAGCGCGATTTCAAATAGCGTTTTCTTCAAAAAACGAATGCACAGTGAAAGCGCGATTTCAAATAGTATTTTCTTCAGAAAATTTTTTTATGTTAAAAGCATGATTTGCAACCACGCTTTCTTAATTAAAAGCGTGGTTTACAATAGCGCTTTCACTATTCATCACATTTTAGACTTCAAACAGTGAAAACGCGATTTGTAATAATGTTTTAGCCTAGTGTGGAAATTCCGTCCAAATTAAACTTAATTTGAAAATTAAGATACAAAATAGGCTTAATATGAGAAAAGTCCCAGAAAATTTAGTTATATTGTCTAGTCAAATGCAAGTCTATTGACATTTGTCTATTCTCCAACAGATCGACACAAACAAAAACAAAAACAAAAAAAAAAGTAGACTATGGATGATCTTATTATACGGAGTTGCTTACAAAAACAAATTATTCAAAAGAAAAAATAAGTTAAAAAAACAACAGCAGCAAGCCTCTGTTACACATTCTTATTGTGGTTGTGACTTCTGTCTAATCACATTTTTAATATATTGCACATGAGACATGTTATAACCCTATAACTAGTTTTCCCATTGGCTTGTTTGCCTGTTCTGTCATTAACAGAATTTTAATCACTCACGCCAAAAATAAAAATAAATAAGTAGAGAGATTTTATTTTAAAATAAAATCCCTCATGAACCATAATCATAAATGTTGACATATCACATCACATCACATCACAAAGAAAAACATATGTTAAAACTATGAAAAATGATTTAGAGCACTAAAAGAGAGGCACTAAAAGAGCATTAAATTGTCTTTTTCCTCTTTGTGTTTTGTCTTTTTCTTCTTTTTTTTTTTTTAATTTTTTTTAGGCATGCCACCTCACTAGAGCTGCTTTTAGTGCTCTTCTTTTAGTGGTCTGTATCATAGTTGCTAAAATTATAGAACTATTGTACAAATTAGGTCGCATGTTAAAAATCAGAATCCACCACCAAACAGGGAACAAATAAAGGAAAAAATTTCTTCCACATCCCATTTATTTCACAAAAAACAAAATTTTTAGAAGTTAACAAAGGGGTGAAACCAATTCTGGAAAAAAAAATATTCAATTTTGGATAACATGGTCAAATTCGAAGAAGGAAAAAACAAAATTACCGGAACAGGAGATGGAACACTGAGACCAACCATGCATTTACACAGCTTTCAAGAACAAATGAGTAGAATTGAGAGTTCAGGATGGTACAAGTGCCAATATCTGGGTTTTGATCCTTCCCATGCACATTTGTATCTCTCTGTAGATGGGAAGGTTCTGAGGGCAGCAAGGATGCAAGCTTGTAACGGCAGAATCCAGTATCTGTGCCACATCAGCTGGCGGATATTGGCGTTCAGTACACATCTGCATATTTCAAGAAAACAATATTAAATGAGGATGTAAATCAAAATTTATCATGTCAGCATGTTAAGAAAAGGTGAAATAATTACCGATATCAATCAGAAATAGTAATTTTTGCCCATGGGAGTGCAACAATTAATGCTCAAAAGTTGTAATGTAAGAGAAAATATACGATAAGGCATTCGCAGTAGAATTGTGGAAACCAATTATACAAATAAGTGAAGGAATAATAACATGAGGGAAAGCAAAAGGCCATGATGGCCTATAATCAAATAAAGGTAAAAGTGCAACTTCGAGCTGATAAGTGGAAAAAAAGAAGAGAGAGAGAGACAGAGAGAGAGACAGAGAGAGAGTACTGTGCATCCACATGTAATCGGGATTTGAGAAGTTGCATTGAAATTAATCTCAAGGTGCAAGATAAGAAGAATAAGCATTATCCAGCCAACAATAAGGCAAGTGGGGACTGGTCAAAGAGTGACAATTAAAGTACAAAAAACTAAAATTGAGTGCATCTGTGAGAAAGTGTAGCACAGATTGAAGAGCAATGATAAAAACACCAATCGAGATGGTCTGCCTAACTGGTTGAGTTATGGATTTAATCTTAAAGAGTACCAATATTATGGATTTAATCTTAAAGATAGCCAATATTATAGGTTTAATTTTGAAATTTATTATTATTATTATTATTATGAGCCATGATGACGTTGGTTGAAGTCATGAGGAAAAAGATATGATATGACTGGGTTATTTAGAATGCCCAAGCAGAAAAATTATTCCATAACCCAAATGATTGGATAATGCACTAATAAATTAGAACAACTTTATTCTTTAATTCAATCACTGTTAGTTGAATTCTATAAAACTAGTTAAACATTGAATACTTTGCACTAGTAAGAATCAACAGCAAATAAGAAGGCATTCATTATTCATACATTGGCAATTAAAGTGTAATTTGCTTTAGATCTCTTGCTTTTACCTGTACCATAAGCAAAGTAGCAACACAAGAAGTAATGAGCTCTGATGGGATTTGTGCTTCAATTCCATCAGAATCATTATGCAATTTAGTACCAGATGCAAAACCTCTCTGCAGGGTCTCTGAAGTAGAAGGAACCTGGCGTTGATGAACAGTACCACCATTAACTTGTTCTGGAGATTTCAGGACTGCCCCCCCACAATCCGTTGTGAATTTTTGTGTATCAAAAGAATCTAAAGCCTCTCCAATACGCTTGAAAGGATCTTCCCCATTCTTTATTGAAGACATTGCCTGAAAAATAGACATTTAATTGCAATCAGACTATATGCTAGCATTTGAGATACATGTATGCCATAATGGATTATCTAATATGATTACACAACTCCTAAAACAGTTAGCTGATTAAGACCATGCAATTCGCAAAGGACTGCCTTAGATGAGTTATGATACATTTACGTTGTGTTCTACAAAGTGCAACTTGATCATCCAAATTGACGATTGATTCAAGTGTCACAGCTATACAACTGAATGGATGAGAAAACATTGGCAATGTAGTATTTCTGTGTTGTCTATCCCGCCCACTATGGTAGCCCATAAATTACATGATCACAATGTTTAGAAACTTGGCTAAATGCAAAGAGAACCTCACTCAAACTGTGTTCAACTAGCTCTGCATTTGCAAGCTATACAACTGCATAACTAAAAATTTTCCATTATCTGCAATATTCTACACTACCAAGATTCAACAAGCTCAGACGAATTGTGAAAAGGAGGCATCCACCCTAGCCCAAAAATATGTATCCTCCTTCATACCAATAATATTATGTCACAGCTGGGAACAGAACAGACAAATAGGACTGTCAATAAGTTCCTTGGTTGTCATCCCAGCCAAATGTTAGCTAAACAACTAAAACATCCCACTGTTTGAGAAGATGAACTAAATGCAGTCAAGTGGAAGCGACCCTCACAATTTGGTAATTAAATATTATTATTTAAAAAAGAAGAAGAAGAAGAAGAAACATACACAACATAATACATGAAGATTTACTGGCATAAGTCATGATAAGTGGACACTTTTTAGTGGAATAAAACATGCAAAGTGCAGAAAAAACATAGAACAGAACCAGTGGCTAATCACCCAAATGAAACCCACATGAACACACGCACACACAGAGATTGCAGGATTCTAAGGTTCCATACCTGAATAGCAGCATCTACCATCGTATGTGCTTTAAATCTTGAATCTTTGACAATCTCAACAACATTAGGTCCTGACTCGTGATAACTAATTGAAGGATGGTCAGTAGAACATGGGGGGCCATTGAATCCATTTGAAGTGGCCAAAGGCTTCAGCCATGGAGACAAAGAGTTCCCTTGGTACGTGTTGCGTTGCCTTAAATTAAGCAGAGCAGAAGAAACCTGCAAGAGAGAACACTCAGTCAACAATTTCTGAAAGGACTGAAATACACTAAATAGTAAATAGTAGAAAAATACAAGTGAAGCAGAAAACTAGTTTATGGAAGCCACATGCCTGGTCACTGGCTTCCTTTAGCTGTAATAATACCACAGCATATTGCTTTTTGAAAAGTTCAGAATCCTTTAACAAACTATCTCCATTGCTTTCTTTTTTCAACACTTCATCATTTGCATGCTTAAGTTCCATCAATATTGCTTCCTAAAAGTAACAAAATGTATCAGCTGCTTCAAGTCATCAATCTTGGTATCTTTAGCAGAAAATAAATCTATATGTACATATTGTGCAAACCAAAAGCCATAATTTTCTTTATACATGGTTGTCTATGGGTTGTGCCCCCCCAACACTTTCTCAATACAATTTTATTAGTTGTTTTTTTTTGTGGCTATTTTGTATAGTTGGTCTCTGGGAAGGTGATGCCTAATCTTGACCAATTTGCAGATTCTCTTCATTTGTACTAAGCATCTATAAACCTTTTTGTCTTTAAGTGTACACTCTTTTTTTTCTTCTTTTTTCAGAGAGCCATATGTTATCATGGTTTTAACCTCGTACATGGGCAGCATCCCTTTGGTGCTCTTTTAATAAAAAAAATTTGTGAAAAAAAAAGGATTTATCAATCAAGTAAACAACAAACTGTATGACCTTTTTATCTAGAGCGCTAGTCAAATCAGTAAGAGCCTTTATATCAGCTTCCCTTGCATGTATCTGTGCCACTGTGCAAGGATTACTACGAGCTGCCTCTGGAGAATTAATAAGGTCAATTGCAGCTGCTTTAGCTTGTGAAATGGCATAAACTGCATCACCCTGAACAAAACATTTGTTGCTCAGTGTTAGTTTCATCAGTCATCTATTCCTGTAAAAACACAAAAGTCATCTCATGGTAATATGCCACAGATTGAGATGTACTGATATTGGTATAATGTTTCATTATCCAAATTTCTTTCTAATAGGCTCTCCTCATTCCTCCATCATTGTTCTCTCAGTTTCCATGCTTGTATCTCTCTGTTCCTTCCTTATTAATAATAATATCTAGATTACTATGAAAGAAATAAATTATCTACCAAATCAATCCAAAATGAAAATAAGAAATTCTGAATAAATACATCAACAATTCTGATATAACTCAATGATCATAATAGTTTATACACAAACTATAGTTCTCCACACACCACTTGCGTAAGAGCGTGATAAAATGCCTAATTCTCATTTTCACAACGTTCAATTTTTATGGTAGTGTAAAAACAACAATAATATAAAACCTGAAAAGCATTCTTATTAATCATCAGACTTAGCAGGTGAAACAGTATATACTACTGAAAAAATAGATTCAACCAACGAATAAACATGCAGCCAAAATACCACCATCTTGTAAATAGAGACATATCACCAACAACAAAAAAACAGTTATGGAATAAAGTCAATATAGGCCTTGTTTGGCAAAGGCTATTTTTTTGCTTTTTGGGCTAAAATCCACAAAAAGACAAAATAGCCTAAAATAGCCAATAAGATAAAATGTTACATCAAACCCATAATCATTTCACTTTTTCTCTCACATCCAACTACAAAAAAATATAACCATCTTCCCAAACACAAATATTTTAGCCTACCAAAATAGCCAAAAACTAAAATGGCCTACTAACATAGCAACTTCCCAAACACCCACATTATAGATTCTGAAATTACGAAAATTCAATAGGCATAGTTACCTTTGGCTGATTTGTCAGAGTATGCATGGAACTGCATAAATTCTCCAGATACTCATTAGGAGCAAATACAACAGGCCCTCCAATATTTGATTGTCCAGCTTTTGGTTCTCTAGAATTTGAAGGAAATTTATCAACTCCAATGTTCCGTCTCCTAATAGCTTCTGGCATATTTTCTGATTGATTTAAAGGCATACAATCTATATCCTGTAAAGAAAGATCAATCAAATCCTGTCATTCCATATCCCAATAGTTCCCAAATAAAATTTAAAAAAAAAAAAAATTGATAGCAACAAGCATCACCAACAACAAGTACAGTTACAGTTAGAATGTAAAATGAAGGAATTTAGGGTTGGGATTTAGGAGGAAGAAGAAGAAGAAGAACAAGAACAAGAAGAAGAAAGAGAAATTTTATATATATTGAAAAATCATTGTGCGTCAACTTTACGTCAGTCAAATATATACATACAAACCCTAACATAGCAATATGACCATCGTACCCTCAACTTAAGTAAATATTAACAAGAGAACAAAAGAACAAAAATAAGTATTTTAACACTCCCCCCTCAAGCTGGAGTGTAGAGATCGAACATGTCTAGCTTGACGGATAAATGATGAAACGAAGGCCGAGCCAAAGGCTTGGTTAGAATATCACCCAATTGATCGACATAACAAACATAAAAAATCACAAGTTGCTTGCGGAGTAAGAGATCACAAATAAAATGGAAATCAACTTCGATATGTTTGGTGCGTTCATGAAACACAGGATTATTGGCAATGAAGATAGTAGCTTGATTGTCACAAGACATACTCATAGGAGTGGGAACAGAAAAGCCAAAATCTTAGAGAAAAGACTGAACCCAGAGCATCTCAGAAGCAGTATGGGCCATGGCACGATACTCAGCCTCGGCATTAGGAGTAACAACAATCTGTTTCTTGCTACGCCAAGTAACAAGATTACCACCAACAACAGTACAATAGCCCGAGGTGGAACGACGGTCAGTCTTATTACCAGCCCAATCAGCATCGCTAAAGCCAATGACAGACAAAGAGGAAAATGGGCGATAGAGCAAACCCCACCCTAGAGCACGCTTCAAGTATTGCAAGATACGACACACAACCACAAAATGGGGTTGGCGGAGAGCATGCATAAACTGATTGACCACACTCACGACATAGGTAATATCTGGACAAGTGATAGTGAAATATATTAACTTCCCAACCAACCGACGATAACGACCAATGTCGGGAAATAAGTCTCCAATGTCACTATCAAGCTTATCACTGGGGCGAGTGACCCTCGACTTAGGTATATATTAACAAGAGAACAAAAGAACAAAAATACGTATTCTAACAGTTGCTAACAATTGCCAAACTGAAACAACATTTGATGTGGTAATTCAATGGGAAATGGAGAGCGAAAGGAATACAAATCATCTGCAGCAGCAGAAGGATGACTAGTATATTCAATAGATAGAAATGTAAATACAAGTATTTTCAATATAGGCTATAATAAATTATTCTATCCTAAAACTATTTGAGGTTCTTCTTGGCCCTAATCATTCTCAATGATAATGAATTTCTGCACATTGCCAACATAGTGCCTTGGAAATGGAAATGGAAATGGAAATGGAAAAGGAAACTACAAAACTTTTCAAAATCAATAGCCTCACCACTTTCAAGTTTAAACTCATCAAAAGATTTCACATTCACAACCAAAACATTGAAACTCTGATAATTGCACCATGAGAACTGAGAGGAAGAAAACGAGAACAAAATATTTTAGTAGTTTACAAAGGAAGGGCATCACAAAGCAATAATAATCTCTCTGTAGTAATTCTTTCAACAAGAATGTGTTTTAAAATAAGAACACATTATCTAGAAATTTTGATGTTAACTAACATTAAGATCAACACAGTGTAGCTTAACTTAGAACTAAAGAAGACAGGTCAAACCAGTGTTGTGAAAGGCGCACCTAGGCACGAGGTGTAGCGAGGCGACTGAAGGGACCCAAGGCAAGGGGAGGTAGATGATTCGCGAGCCTTGGCCGAGCCTTGGGTCAGGTGCGAGCAGGCGCAAGGCGACACTTAAGCATGCCTTTTGTATTTTTTCCCTGATGCTTATTTGATGGCTTTGATCTGAGTTTGAATGGGTCCAACACATACGATTGCAACTTATACAACTCAATACCCAACAGTTGAGACTCGAAGCCTTAAAATCTATCGAAGAAAGGTGTCGTCTCTTCTCTTCGTACAGTCTGCAGCTCATTGCGACTTCATCTTTGATTGAGGACTTCAACTTCGGCTACAAGTGAGTCTTCTTCTTCTTCTTCTTCTTCTTTTTTTTTTAACTTCTCCTCCTCTTCTTCTTTGTTGGGTGCTTCTTCATTGCTGCTGCTGGAGAAGAAGATGATGGTTTGCTTGCCATTGATGTTGAGGATGATGATTGACTGACCTAACCTAACCTAACCTAACCTTTCTTATTATATTGATGTTTTGAAATATTAAGACTTATATTAGTATTTGTTGGATATTTATGTTTTGAATGTTTTGTTGTTGTTGTTTTTTTTTTTGGATTATTTTATCTTTGAAAATTGGAATGATATGTAATATGCACTTTCATGACTTTGAGAATTATTCTATAATTTGTCTTGATTACTTTTTGTTTTTAAAAAATTGTCTTAGTACTATGAAGGATTAGTGTATGTTAATTTATCTATTTTTTACTAAGACTGTGCGCCTTGCTTCAATAAAGCCCGTGCCTCACCTTGCGCCTAGGCCCCAAGAGACCTTCAGCACCTTCGTGCGCCTTGAGCCTTTAAAAACACTGGATCAAACATTGTCTTATGAGAAACATGAGCCTCAATATCTTGCTAGGGTGCAAATTTACTCCATCCAAATTCCAAAACATTATTTTAACAGAAATATAAAGAGAACACACGGAGAGAGAGAGAGAGAGAGAGAGAGAGAGAGAGAATCTAATAGAAAGAATTACCATGACAAATTCAACCCCCAGCTCAGGCCGGTCAAACTGAATCCTGCACTTGTCATGATCAATTGTGAGCACACTTCCATCATGAACTTCTCTTGATTTGGGATGAAGAGCAATTACTCGTTGTCCAACTGATAAAGGCCGTGCTAAATCTGTTGGTAGTCCTTCCCTAATACCAGCACAAAGTTCAGTATAATGTTGTCTAACAGATTCCCGGTACTGTTTAAGCTTTTCCTTTTCTTCGTGTAGGAAGTGTTCAGAAAACCTCCGAGGTTTGCCTAGAGAACTGAATCAAGTAGAAATCAACATTAAGAATATATGTTGCAGTCCTTTGCAATAATTTAGATGTCATATTTGTCCATGTGTAGCAGCAAAAAAACTAAATTACCTTCTTATGACACCCCACTCGACACGAGTTAGCCTTGGTATATGACCCAGTCCCACATGATTTAAGTACTCTACAAACTCCCTTTTGGCAAACCAAGGGTAGTCAATTGCACTGTAAAACCACTCAAATGTGCACCATCTACGTACCAACGAGGATGATAGGCAACAAGAAAGCTTATCCTGCAAAATTAGTATAAATTTTAGAAATAAACCCACACCCTAGGAAAACAGAATCTTGAATATACAGCGAAACATGCTGACATAACCTTCAGATGAAGTGCCCCATCTTGAAGTGTAGGATATTTGTTAGAAAGATCTTTGAAAGTGTTCCCAGGAGACTTAATCTCATTCTGAGTTTGTGTTCTTACTGGATCCATCTTACGCCTACTTCTATGTTTGGTTGGTAAATTTGCATGGCTTGTAGCCGGAACCTCTGCAGTAGATACCGCTGAGTTATTGCCTAGCCTTTTCTTATCACTACTTGAAGAAGAACACTCTGCAGGCCTGATTGGTTCCCCTTGATTCGAAGCAGAAAAATTCTGACCAGTATGTTTGCCATTAATCACAATTTTTTCCTCCTCTTCAGATAAGGCCTAGAAAACATTTGCATATAAAGAGAAGAAAAATCAGCACAGCAAAATCTAAAACAGGTAAAACTACAATCATAGGCAAAAAAGGTGACCATTCTAAATCTGATTGCTGGAAGGGAAGCAATCATTTCTCAATTTATACACTAAATATAACCAGCTGGCAGTGCATTATCAGCATAATGTATTAGGTAAAAATATTAATATACATCTGTCACAAGCCTAATTTTGCTGGCATTACACAAGTGCTCCATGAAAGAACGTTGATAAAAGCAATGTTACATGGACTCGGGTACAAGTGTTGGGCGCGGGTGTGTATCTAGAGGTTGGACGCGTCAAACCTCAAATTTAAGGGTACATGGACGTTGTGACTTAACATGATATCAAAGCTCATCATTCTCTTTCACATAATGGGCCCATCATTCTCTTTCAGATAATTCAGTGTCATTATATGTATTTATTGTTGCACATTGATATACAATTTGATAAATACATTGTTGGGCCCATTTCCTAACAGCTTAGGCTTTTGGGAAAATTGGTGACTTAACATGATACTAGAGCTCAAGTTGATGGAATTCTGTGTTGGCATTGGTATTCTATCCAAGTATGGTTTCTTCTTCTTTGTTTGGTTGTTTGCTTCTCCTTCTGTTTGGTTCTCTCTCTGTCTCTCCATGTGCAAGACATGGTTGCACGTGAGGAAGAGTGATGAACAGCTTGATATACATTGTTGAGCCCATTTCCTAATAGGTTAGGCTTTTGGGAAAATTGGTGACTTAAGACAGAGAGAACCAAACAAAAGGACTTCTTATACATTGTTGCACGTGAGGGAGGGTGTTGAATAGCTTGATATAGATTGTTGAGCCCATTTCCTGGTAGGTTAGGCTTTTGGGAAAATTGGTGACTTAACAGTTACCTCATGGCATTTTATAATAAACCTTGATTAATTCAACAGGACACGAAAATTCAGCAAATATAAAATATAAATGTTACCGACACCACCATCTCCCCCACAGGCAATCACCCCCACCATTTTACATCAACCACAATTGGCCTCGACCAACCAACTACCATGCTGAAAAGACCCAAATGTCCAGAACCATAGTAGTAATATGGTATTACAGTACACTATACACCACTATTAACCCTAAAAATTTATCATCCAAACTACATAAGATAGAGGGACCTTGCGTTCTTCCAATCCACTCAAGGGACATACAGAATATAGGTTCCACACAAAAGTTGCAAGAAACTGTAATCTGTCCTCAACAAACTAGGAGGAAAAGAAGGGAAAGAACCAAGGGCTAGAGAGAGGAGGAGAAAAAATGAAGAGGGGTGGCAGCTCTGCACTTCAGAAAACTAGATCTCCCTGATGATTAAATTAGGTTTTAGTGAAGCCTTCAAGTCTAGACACTTAACTAAGTGTCATAGTTAAGTGTAGGAAGAACTTCAAAGAACAACGTAGGAGAAAGAGGAAGATTTGGAATACTGACCTACGTTGTTTGTTGCAGTTATTTTTTAGGGAGAGGAGCTGGCACTCATCCAAAAGAGTGGAGCTAATTCACATAATGAACAGCATTTCTTCGGAAATTCTTGTGAAGCGAAGTCCCACATCGCCTAAGTATTAAAGTAATATTAAACATATAAGCGTGAGGGCACCCTCATCTTAATAGCTAGCTTTTAGGGTGAGTTCTACCCAAGACCGTGTAACAATTCTATCTAGGAGAGTAAATCCTTCCATCAATTCTTTTTATTCTTGTAGCATTTAAATCCTTTTGCTTCCCCACCCACACACCACCCCCCACAAAAGGGATACAGTTTCCTTGCATGCATCATGTGTGCATTACCCTCCCTTTGGCACCATATAATGGCACCCTCTTAAGAAAAGTAATCATCACACAAACTCTCATCAGTTCCAGCAGCAATAGAGTCATACCCTTCAAAGTTGGAAATAGTTTATCATCAGCTCAAAATATCTCTAAGAAAATGTGTATCTTATAGTTGCACGAAGCAGGAGAGGGAGAAAACGAGAACAAAATATTTTAGTAGTTTACAAAGGAAGGGCATCACAAAGCAATAATAATCTGCCACTAAGGTATATCTTCTAGGCTTTCTAGTTCTCTTGCTGTTGAAAACTAGGCCAGTGACCTAATCAATAGGAGACCACTTTCTAGGTAATGCAGGTTCCCCTAATCAAATAGAAGGCAAGAACCCAGATGCAAAATCAAGTAAAAAAAAATATGGCTAGTTTAGTCCCCATTGGATGGTGGTCTATGATTGGGGGTTGCCAGCCTAACCTTTGGCATAATAAGCACAAAGTGGATGCTCGCAGGTTCAAACCCACAACCTCAAGGTTAAAACACCGAATTTTAACCAGTGAAGTAGTGACCCCTTGTATTACTAAGATCAAATCCAAAAACAAAATATAGAACTACTCAATAAAGAATGTGAAATTATCTAGGTTCCATCACTTTTCCTAGAAATGGAATTTATTAACGAGTGACCTGCGAGAATGTTTTGTGATAACCATTTTTTTTTTTTGGGTAAGTAATTTTGTGATAACCCAGCCACTATCTCTGTTGCCTGTAATTCAATATTTCGTGAGTGAACCAATCATAAGTGGTAGTCATATTATTCAACTTTGACACCGACAAAACAGATAATTATGCTAAGTCAGAAGACCAATTTTAATATGTTTACTTTTAGGCTTTAATATGATTGCCATACTTAAGTACCAAAGTAAGCTCCACACAATGATTATGAAATTGGTTTGCACTTGAATTTAAGTAATGAGGTCACAAAGAGGGAAGTAGGGCTCCTATTGAAACGATTTCCCCAAACAAAATCTATGCACTAACACAGGAATTTATTTTTTTTTAGAGAGGGAACATGGGAATTCTTAAATGAAATATAATATGTTCCATTAATTTGTTCTCTCTCAGTCTTGCTCTAGCTCATGAAACTACCCAATTGTGTACCAAAAAGTACGAACAGTTCTAGTAGTTAACCAAAAAACTAAAACATCAACAGAAGTTTGCATTGCATAAGAAAATTATTATGTACACTCACCTTCAACGACGAGGATTTTCGTTTTCTTTTCCGAGGTTTATTAGATGAGGGAAGTGGCTGCTCTCCTTCAGAGATAGCATTAACACTGACTGCCAAGTCCCTTCCAAGTTTGGATTTTTCATATGTAGCCTCCAACCCAGATAATCCACGTACTTTCTCTCTAACACCAAGGAATTTAGTTTTGTCTCTTCGGTTAGACATAGCTTCATGTACATTTGACCCATCAACTAAAGCAGAACTTGGTTTATCCCCCAACTGCACAAAGGATTCTGGGCCCAACCAAAAGATGGGGGAAAAAATAGTAAACAAAAAAAAAGAATTAAAACTGCAGTTCAAATCACATGCCCGCAGCTACCACAAAAACAAAAATAAACTGAATCCAAAATAGCATGTTGACATACAGCACAGTTATAATTTTTATAGATAAAATAAATTCAGAAAACTTCTAGTTGTGGTTTTCTTCTTTTCAACAAATTGAAATGCATAAATCAAATATCATGAAACAGAATCGCTAAAAAGGGTAAGACTGCATTTACAAAGTACAACAAAAACAAGATCAATGATTTAACATTGATCAAGACTAAGAAGCACGAACACAATATTTCATCCAAATATAATTAAATAATACAATATAACAGTAACTCAGATTGAACAACCACATATTCCTCAGCATTACAATTACAATAGGGCATCCTAAAACATAACAATTATAGCTACAATCATAGTAGGGTATTTTATAACACAAGAAATAAAAAATAAACCAATAATTATTCATTCATATGCATTCAATTAACAGTCATTCAATTAAAAGTTAAGTTTACTGCCCACAAGAAAAAAAATTTAGGGCTAGTTTGGCATACCTCAAAAAAGTCAAAAAATCAAAAAGTTACTAAAAAGGTTAAAAAGTTATCACTATTCACCCAAAAAAAATATTAAAAAAATTAATTTTACAAAAAAAAAGTACAGCTCACATGTCACGTGAGTTGTACTTTAGCTATCCACTGTTCGTACAAAGGGAACAGGCGGAGAAGCAAACAAGACGGTGTTGTTTAGCCCGTGGGGGCCCATCACGGGTCCTGTTTTGATAATCTGAATCGTCAATGTGTAGAAATCGTCGAGTACTATATGCCTGTAAAAAATCACATTGATCAGATATCGCTAAATACATGATCAAATTAGTTTTGTATAAAAAATGGATGGTGCTATAATTAACGGTTGACAAAAAACTAATCCGATCAGATAACTATCAATATCCGATCAACGTGGTTTTTTACAAGCATATAGTACTCGACGAACATTGAACGGTTTCGATTAGCAAAACAGGACCCGTGGTGGGCCCCTACGGGCCAAACAACACCGTCCAATTCAATGCCCGAAAAGGAGGCAACCATCTCCTATACACTACTCTGCACACGCTACCAGCTAGAACATCCACCGTACTGCCTATTCTATCCTAAGTTTCTCCTATACACTAATTTATACAATTTTTTAATACATATTTTTTCGTAAAAAGCCAAAAAGTTATCACAAACAACCATCTTTTTTTTCCTCTAACTTTTTAGTCCTAAAAGTCAAAAAATGCACTTATTTAGGACATCCCAAACAATCCCTTTTTCACTTTGACCTCAAACTCAATAAAAATTCATTTTAATCCCTAACATGTCCCCACTGCGTCTGATGAGCAAAAAACAAAATTAAAATTAAAATTGGGACACTCCAATTCACATATCCAATGCGTGTCCAGTGTGTGCCCATGTTTGACTGCAGTTCTTGGCCTCCAGATAAGTGCCCATGCTTCATAGGATCAAGATATCTAACTGAGAAAGAGCATGATTCAGACGACTTCAAAAGAGTACAAATAGTCCATTGTTGGACCCTACGGAAAAAAAAGTATCACCTACAAACCATGATTCTCCAATCAAAGTAGACGAGAAATATAGCTACTTCAATTGTCAACTGAATGCTGGAAACAGTACAAATGGATAATACTGAGATTTCCTTCAGGTCTCTAACTATGATAAGAAAGAATAATCCCCACAAAATTCAACATTCCAAGAAGAAGCATTTAACTAATCCACCATGGCAGCTTCGTGAATTGAAAAGACAGTTAGGGCCACCAAAAACTGACTAGCATTGACTCAAATGCCACATTCAGCTAAAATTCATAGTTTGAGGCAACAAATACAAAGGTAATCAATCAAAACCAGTGAGGGAAAACATGAGTAGGTTAAATTTAAATTAATTCTAAGCAAAGTTATTTCAAATTGATGCATTCAATATTTAGATCAACCGTAGTAATTTAATATGTTAGATTCCAGTTAAACATATAAATCCGCCACGGCAGCTTCATGAATTGAAAAGGAAGAGTTAGAGAAACCATACACCATGTAGCATTGATTTAAGTACCACATTCAGCTAAAATTCGTAGCCTGAGCCAAAAAATATAAAGAATATCAATCAAAACCAGTGAGGACTTTTTTCTGTGTGTGTGTTCAGTTGTAGTCGCTGAAGTAAAATATGAGTTGCTTAAATCAAATTTAAATCTAATTTATTACACATCTATGGACAGCCTCAATTGATGAGTCCTAAATACTTGCTTTCCAAAATTTCAAGGGGCATATGGGGATATCAGTTAAACTGGTTAGCTAGACTTTGAGAAGTTCAAAGTCAGCATATATGTGCATGAAGACCTGAAAATTGCAAGCTACTTATCATTAAGATTTTAACTTTTATCTCCTATACATCTCTAAAACCTCTACTTTCATTTTCTATATAACTACATTTTGTGGCCACGTTGATCATAATTAAGGTTGTTCTTTCCTATACCTAAATGATTGCATTTCCTCCAGCAGTTGAACAAATTTAAAATATACTTCTATGGCCAACAATCTCTCTCCTACCAGAAATGCCAACTCTTACTCCATTTTCATAGGTAGTTGCAAAAGGATCTTCATTAACAACAAATTTTAAATTGCATAACATGTATGAGTGACTAAAACCATTAAAAGAATCTTAAACATAGTTTTCCTAAGAATCCTTAGTTATGATAGCTTTCTGTGGGGACATATTTCCTGGATACCAACACGTGGCATGGCGACACCGACGTGTCAGGCGAAGTGCCACATGTCGTGATAGTTACACCAAGGTGATCTCGGAGTTGCCGAGGTTATCTCCGAAGATATCGAAATCCGAGATAAGCGGATAAGAGACAAGAGTCCTAGGACAAAGAGGAGACTTAGCCAAGATAAGGATAAAGCTCTTAGGGAGTTTATCTTTATCTCTTGAGAAATCCTAAGTGAGCACTGAATTGAAGTTTATAGAAGTCATGCTTCTAGTGGGACTTGGATTGAGTAAACTATAAAAGAGAGGCACCCCCATGGGTCTAAGGTACGCAGTTTTATACTCAAGCTTGTGAGTTTAGCGCTTGATTTATCTTTGAGAGATATACTGACTTGATCGTCGGAGTGCCCCCGGGTGGAAGAGCCACCGCCGGAGCCTTTTTCTTTCTGTTACAGGTTACTGAAGCCATCTATTCTGCTGGTGCTCTCCAGCTGATTACTAGGCGGGCAGTGTGATAAGAAAATTACCCACACAATTTGGCACCGTCTGTGGGAATCTTAGAAGAATAGATGGCCAGTGACGGACAAGGGGGAAACATTGGGGGCGAAACTCCTGCTAGAAGTGGTAGACCAATCGACCTTGACGTTGAAGGAGACAACCACAGTACAGAAAATCATGACCAGGGCCACGGAGAAAAAGACGTCGGCCAGGAAAACGACGCTTCAAAAAGGACAAACCAAAGTAAGTACTACAGCGAAGATAACCTTCAGGTTTGGAGGGATAGGTGCCTACGAAGGGATGAGGAAGTAAAAGACTTGGCAAACAAACTGGCAGACCTACAGTCAGTGGTCAACTTCATGATGCAAAACAATGTTATGCAGCCACCATACCCGCTGCAAGATACGCTGATGCCAGCGATTAATACCCAGAAGGGAGGGAGAAAAGCTGGGTTATGCCAGTTTCCTTGTGTACATAAACTTGGGTAAAAATCAGGCTTCAAGGAATTCAAAGCTACCTTTTAAAGTCCTTATACCTTTTGGAAGCAAATGACCTCTCTAACATGACAAGTAGAGAACATGTAGTAGAACTATCATAGTGATGATGTTGTACGATGTAGTAGGTATTGCCATATTAGACTTTTGTACTTCCCTTTTTTTTCCCATTTTGCTTTAGTCTGACATTACCATATAAACATTTCAAACAAAAATCAAGAGCACATAACAGATAAAAGTCTGATAAACCACATTCAAACTGACAGTGCATTCATTTTTTGATATTATAGGCAAAAAATAAAAAACAAACATGTAATAACAACTGACCCAATTTATGGTAAATTGCAAGTGAGATTCAGTATACCGAGGTTCCAAATTTATGATGGTAAGTCAGACCCCAACTTTCATGTTGGACTATACCTGAACTCAATGGCATTATACAATGGGAACGAGCCATTGCTCTGCAAAGTATTTCCCTCATCCTTTGTGGAAATTGCATCCGATTGGTTCCATAAGCTACCAAAGGGAAGCGTGAAGACATGGGAAGGCCTGGCCGAGATGTTTGTGGCCAGGTTTGTGACGAACAAACTACAGCCCTTGAGGGTCGACGCCCTGATGGCTTTAAGAATCACCAAGGAAGAAGGCCTTAGGGCCTACGCAAAGAGATACTACGAGGTGTTCAATCGAATACTCGAATGCAACCAAGAAGTGGCGGTCGTATCTTTCAAGAACGGCCTCAAAGATGACTGCCCACTACGGAAGTCTTTGGCAAAAACATTGCCAAAAAGCATAGAAGAACTCATGGCAAAAATTGAGAAATACGCCAGAGCCAAGGAAGATACATCGGGAAACAAAGAGATAAAGCAGGAGAAAGGAAACGGCTCGCCGAAGCGAGGCCGAGGTAACAACGGACCGACCAAACAAGAAACAGAATTGAAGGGTAAACAGGCAGTAACAACGGTGTTCCGAATCCCTATCCATAAAGTCTTGGATCAGATATGAAACCAACCCTATTTCAGAACTCCAGTAAGAACACCAGGGGAATTCATGGGAAGAAACGTTGGTAGGCGTTGTGCTTACCACAATGAAGAAGGGCACCCAACTCAGGGTTGCAGAGCCCTAAAAGCTCACTTAAAAGACTTGGTAAGACAAGGCCATCTGAGGGCCTTATTGATGAAGCCAAGACAAGAGAAGAACAGGCAAGATTGCCTCAAGCA